GAAATATTGTCGGAAATAAATTTGTTTAGAACAGTTAATTCATTAATTTGTAACAATATTCCATTCCAAATAGGATTAGGTTAAAATAAACTCACCCGATTTAAATCAGCGTCTTTTCTTTTGACCCATATATCTTCAGCACTTCCGCCTTGATCGATAGTCGAACTGCTGCTGCTCTTCATTTCTATCAAAGAGGAATCGAAAAACTTCGCATCGTAATGCAGGTTCTGCAGTGGCGCCTTGAAAATGGTACGAACAGAGGGTTTCTTGGGGTCGCACGAAGAAATAGCATGAACTGTGTTAGCTTGAAAGTATTGTTTTTTGTTTGAAAATAACTTTGCGGCTTTCGACAACTCCTTCGGGGGCTCATTTTGACTTTCCTCGATGTTAGGTTTCGTTATCACAAACTTATGCGTTGGCCCACTTATTGTATCTATCACAGCAAGTTTAGAACCACTCGACGGGTCTGGGGACGATTTGTCACTGTCTGACATATTTGAAGGCACTAAGTCTCTCTTTTCTTGTTCTTCGTCCTCTTCACGGCACTGAGACAGGCGCCTCGAGCTTATCGTCAATTTCGAAGGCAAACTATTAACATGTTTATTCAAATAACACTGAACAAACGAACTATTTTGATCGAATAATTTTTCAAAGAAAAGTGGCGATTCCTCATCAGACGCTGAAGCTCTTTCTGTACCACTTTCGATATTTTCTGATGCAGTGTTAAACGATGAAGGTCTATTTTTCGCCGGTTCCCTCGATTTGTAATCTTTATTTTGCTCATCCGCACCATTTGTATGTAAGGAAACATTCAAGTCCATCTAAATAAAATAAATGACTGTTCAAAATAAACCAGTGTAGTAATATCGTAATAATAATACACTCGAGAAACGGTTTCCAATTCCTAGAGTGTTGAAAAAATCGATTTCAAACTACCAGGGTGGTTTTAGAAGTACCCGGCCTGACCTAGAGATGGCGGTAGTTTGAAAAATATCACTATACTACAAAGTACACAATATACAGGATGTTCCTTAAACACATGCTAATATTTGAGGAGGTAATTCTTAGACCCATTTTAAGAAAAAAACTTCCTATGGACGTATGCCCTAAACGCCTTAACTTTTGAGATACAGGGTGGCAAAGTTTTCAAAAATAATCAGTTTTTTAATAATAACTGAGATAATTTTGTAGACATCTTTGGCATATTTGGTACATATGTTCCATGCCTCAAGGCGCATTTTCTGATGTACACTTTTCTTAATTTTCTCTGCCAGTGGCGTACGTACGAGTTTTGAAATGTATATTTTTGGCGAAAAAAATACTACGCCACTGCTTTATCTTGAATTAAAAATTATTTTTGAAATCTCCATACATTTTTGAGCACATTTGATTTGCTGGGTTTTCTTTGTCCGACGCATGGTTTTCGCTCAAAAAATTAAAAATCGCTTTACTTAAGGATAAATTCCTTAAAAATCTGATGCG